TGTCTGCCTCTTGCTTGTACGCATATTGGACACCAACTCCTGTAAGGGAGATGTGTCACGTTGTGCTCGAGTATCTCCTGTGGTGTTGGTTGCTTGGGTGCTTGTACTGCTCTTGCTTTTGTGCCTTGTTGTTGTTCCTCATCATCTGACTCAAGTTGCGTTGGGAACTCCTGATGCTCCTCAAAGTTTGTCCAGCCTGTCCAAGGCTTGTCTGATGTCTTTGCTGGCTGTGTTGTCCGTTCATCTTCTATCAATCTTGTGTGTTGCGTTTCTCCTCCAACTGGTTGTACCTTGGTCTGTCTCCAAGGTATGAATCGTTTGATGTCTGGCCCCTCGTCTGTCTGCTCTGCTATGTGAAACGCTGTTCTAGGCTTAACATGTACTCTCTTCCAGTATGGGCCTTCTCTGTACCAGAAGTCTCCTCCAGGGTGTACTTCTGAAGGATGTGGAATTCCTTGTCCAGCTGCACCTTTGGTGGTGTGTGGTGCTGCTGAATTGTGTAGTGTTGGTGGTGTTGTTTTCTCTCTCAACCTCGTTCGTGGGTTGTAGTGAATCACTTGTGGTGTGATCCTCTGTGGCTCGCTCCTTGGCTGTGTCTTTGTTGTTGTAAGTTGCTGTAGCGTTTCTGGCAACTTTGTGCCTTTCTTGATCCTGAAGGCTGTCTCGCCTTTCCACATCTGTGGCTGCGCTTTGTTTGGATCTTCTGTTGTTTGATGCTTGTCCTCAAATGTATTTGTTGTGCCGTTCTTGGACCTGATTGTTGTTTTCCTGTAATCCTCCAGTTGCTCTGCTGGAACTGGACACTGTGTTCTTGATGGTGTGAAAAGTGTCTTCATGTATTGCCTGTGTGCTCTGACAAGTTCTCCTTGTGTGTTGAACTGCCAGTCGTCTCCTGCATATCCTGTGTCTGCAGGATTTTGTGGTGTAAGCATTGTGGTCGGTGCTATCATGCCAATCTGTCCTTGTTGTGTTGTGTATCTGTGGCTTTGTTCCTTTTGGCAATGTTGCGACTTCTGCTTGTAGGAAGAACAGGCCATTTCTGTTCTCCAGAGTGCTGTTGAAGCCTTTGACGTGCTGTAGTCTTGGATTGTCATCCAGTGTAAGTTGGAAACCTTGTTCCACCAGCCTTGTAACCGAAAGAATTGGCTGTTTAACCTCACAAACGTAAAATGGTATGACAATCTGTTGTCCGCTGTGGTTTGTCACGCAAACCCATCTGTACCTGTGAAGCTTGATGTGCTGGTTGGTCACTGTTCGCAGTTGTGGTCCTGCGCCATGTGCTAGTTGGTGTAGTGGAAATTGTGATGCAAGCCATAGTGGGCATACACACATGTGTAGCCGCACCGCTGTCAATCATGAGACTGACCCATTTGTTGTCTTCTGGTGGTTGTTGTGTTGCGCCAATCATGGCGATGGTTACTTCATGTAATCCTGAGATAGGTACTGCTGATGGATCTGCTACCTGTGGTGGTTGTGGTAGCGCCAGTTGGTGCATCTGTAACTGATCCTGATGATACCAGTTGTTGTCGTAGCGTGCCTGATTGTACCAGTCATCTGTTTGGTCATTGGTGTCAAAAGTTCCTGTGTCACAGTTGTAGATCGCCACTCTACATTGTTTGGCCATGTGTCCTGGTTGTCCACATCTGTAGCAAACATTTGTTGCTTGTTTTCCTTTTGCTCCTTTTCCTCCTTGTTGGTTGTTGTAGTATCCTTTGCCTTTTCCTTTGTTGCTGTATCCTTTTCCATTGCCATATCCATGTTGTCCTTCGAAAGGATTTCCTTGTCCAACCGGTTGTTGATTGTACTTCCCTTTTCCTCCTTTGTAGCTGTTGTGGCTGTAGTTGTTCCCGTAGTTGCCGTAGCCTTTGCCTTTGTTGTACTTTCCTTTGCCCTTGCGCTTGCCCTTCTTTCCTTTTCCTTTGTTGTACCATGTTGCTCCTATGTCCATCGGTGCCGGTCCTTGACTGTTGCTGCCTGATGTGATTGCTTGTAGCCTGGTGAATGATGCTGTTGCTCTGTAGTACTCGATCACCATGTATCTGATCTGTGCATATGTTGTGATGTTTCCTGCTTGAAGTTGTAGATGCTGCTGTAGTGGTCCTTTTGTCTCGTTGAGCAGTATTGCAATCTTGACTGCATCTGGTAGTAGTGTGTTGTTCTTGTTCGTACCTGGAGAGTTGAAACTCCCATGTTGCGAAGCTCTCCTCGCACTTCTGTTCATCAAGTTGTGGTTTGAGTAACCTTGTTAGGTACCCAATGCTTCGTGTGCCAAGTGGTATAGAGTATCTTGCATGTGTCAGCTGCCATGTTTCAAATCCGTTGCCTTGCATGTTTTGCCTGCAAATTGTAGATGCTGGTCCATCGCATGTGCTCACCAAGAGGTAGTGTAGATTGTTGCTCAGTTGTACCCATTGCTCTGCTACTGCTTGTGAAGGTGCTGCATTCTCAAGTTGGTTGTTTGTAACTTGTCCTGTTGATTGCTCTGACTGTGTCAACAGTCTGTTGTATGCTGGGTCTTGTAATCCCAAGTATGCTGTCATCTTGTACTTCCATTCTTCGAAGGTGTTCTATTCTCCTGTGAACCGTGGTGGTGATATCTTGTATCTGCGGATTCCTTCCAGCTGCTGTTCCTGTTGCTGTTGTGCCGCCATGTTACTCGCTACTGTGTACCTGAACCTGTGGGTGTGTGTAGGAGCTCACCCTGGGTTGTGGTCGTGGATCGTGTACCAGGGATCACTGCTCCGCTACCATGTTAAACTCAATGTTGTGAATGTAGAACCTGTTGACCTGAAGTGTTGGACCTGTGATGTGAACGACATGGCACGGTTATAATCTTTTGTACTGCGGGCATGGGCTCGGCTCAAGGCCTTGTACCGACATGTAACGGTCGCCACATGTAGGCGAGCTGTACAAGACTGTTGTGTATTTAACAGTATAATCATACATACATACATACATACATACATACATACATACATACATACATACATTACATTACATTACATTACATTACATTACATTACATTACATTACATTACATTACATACATACATACATACATTACATTACATACATACATACATACATACATACACATACATACATACATACATACATACATACATACATACATACATACATACATACATACATACACATACATACATACATACATACATACATACATACATTACATACATACATACATACATACATACATACATACATACATACATACATACATACATACATACATATGCATACATACATACATACATACATACATACATACATACATACATACATACATACATACACATACATACATACATACATACATACATACATACATACATACATACATACATACATACATACATACATACATACATACATACCATACATACATACCATACCATACCATACATACCATACATACATACATACATACATACATACATACATACATACATACATACATACATACATTACATACATACATACATACATACATACATACATACATACATACATACATACATACATACATACATACATACATACATTACATACATACATACATACATACATACATACATACATTACATTACATTACATTACATTACATTACATTTACATTACATTACATTACATTACATTACATTACATACATACATACATATTTACATACATTACATACATACATACATACATACATACATACATACATACATACATACATTACATTACATACATACATACATACATACATACATACATACATACATACATACATTACATACATACATACATACATACATACATACATACATACATACATACATACATACATACATACATACATACATACATACATACATACATACATACATACATACATACATACATACATACATACATACATACATACATACATACATACATACATACATACATACATACATACATACATACATACATACATACATACATACATACATACATACATACATATACATACATACATACATACATACATACATACATACATACATACATACATACATACACATACATACATACATACATACATACATACATACATACATACATACATACATACATACATACATACATACATACATACATACATACATACATACATACATACATACATACATACATACATACATACATACATACATTACATACATACATACATACATACATACATACATACATACATACATACATACATACATACATACATACATACATACATACATTACATACATACATATATATATATATATGTATACTGGGAAAGCGACAATATCGCTGCCAGAACCGATATCAGCCTACCCTGCACCGATACCCAGCCACCTGCACAGCCAAAACAAACGCCCCGGACAACACGATGTGCCCTGGCTTCGGGAAAATTGAGTGGGAGATTTGTCTTAAGTCCTCCCCAAACTGACTATGGACTACGCCCTAGTGTTCAATCCCCATTAAAAGAATGGTTGACCCAATTTAGATGGGTCAACAGTGGTAGTTGGGTTCACTTTGGTTCGATGATGGTTTGATTTCAGGGTACCAGTAGTTCGGCAGTTTGTGTCTTGACGTGGGCCCCCGGAATTTGGGTAGGTTTGCGATTCGCCCTTAAACGAGTGGCTAACATAGTATTCGGTCATGGCGCAAATCTGAAAAGGCTGCACAGTAGCATGGGTTAGAGCAAACTTTAGCCTCTGGCCCCCTCTAAAGCAGAACCAAAACAAAGTGGTTTAAGTAATCGTGATTTCTGGCTGAGCCCAATGCCTCAACAGGGTCCCTCAAACAGGGCTGCTCCGGCTGTGCTAGACGTTTTGCTTGGGCTGTGTACCCTTTTTGGGTTGGTTTAAAGGGACACGACACACACCCCACCATTTTTAGGGTCCCCCCAGCTTGACAAATACCCAAATCCTTTAGAGCACCGAAACGGAGTCGGTTCAGCACTGAGTCGCGGTGGTAAAGACCAAGCCGGACAAGCACCCCTGCAGCGGTGCGCTCAATGCCGGCAGCCCGCTCAGCACTGCGTACACCGCCTACCGAAGGAAAACAACACGCCGAGGAGCTCCTACCAACTATCAAGAAGCTCAACATCACATGTCATTTTTGGAATATGGGTGCTTCTTGCTAACTGCAAACAGGTACATACCTCTGGAGAATGAGTCTTGGCTATCAACCCGTCCCAACTTGGGGTCTACCCTCTCGTTGCCATGTCCCCTGGGATCCCTCAAGGTGCCCTCCCACAGGTGCCACCACCAGAGGTAAACTGAAACCTCTGCAACTTAGGTTGCATGCAGTATGCTTGGGAAAGCTATTGAAGGGAAACCTGTGCGGTAACATGTCTTCCTATGACTTGAACTTATCATTTTCAAAACCAAGCAAGCGAAGCTCGTTGAGGGTTGTTGAATTGGGACCCCCCCATTAATGCACAAACAAAGCCACTAGCTTGACCCAGGAAATCCTTTGGGCGATGTCTCCTCTTCTTTTTTTTGTCGGTGCTTGATTTACAAGTCTAGTGCTACCTTCCCCATTCTTTCCAGGGATCCGGATCTTTCTAGAAAACCTCCGGAAACCCAGAGAAAAGATCGATGGTTGAAAAGAATGGACAAGCAATCAACCGTTAGAAACCCAACCCCAGGAAGGGTCTAACCTCTATTCACACATACCAATACGTGGCATTTTTCCCTTCCGCACCAAACTCCCAAGTCGCGCTCACCAATGCCACCTCCCAACAAATGGGAGAAACCCCGACCCCTCGCAGCCCCAAAACGCCCCGGGGTTGACAGGCCTCGAAGAGCGGTAGCTCCAGGAAGTTGGTAATCAGCGTCGTCTTCAGGAATCTCAGCACGAAGGAGGGCCGCACCTCCTGGCAACTGCTCAACTTCTCAACTTTCCAACTTCTCAATTTTCCAACTTGGCAACTTTCCAACTTGTCAACTTCGCAACTTTTCAACTTGTCAAAATCGCAACTTGTCAACTGTCGAACTTGTCAATTTCGCAACTTGTCAACTGTCCAACTTGTCAACTTCTCGATTTTCCAACTTGGCAACTTTCCAACTTGTCAACTTCGCAACTTTTCAACTTGCCAAAATCGCAACTTGTCAACTGTCGAACTTGTCAACTTCGCAACTTGGCAACTTTCCAACTTCTCGATTTTCCAACTTGGCAACTTTCCAACTTGTCAACTTCGCAACTTTTCAACTTGTCAAAATCGCAACTTGTCAACTGTCGAACTTGTCAACTTCGCAACTTCTCAACTTTCCAACTTCTCAATTTTCCAACTTGGCAACTTTCCAACTTGTCAACTTCGCAACTTTTCAACTTGTCAAAATCGCAACTTGTCAACTGTCGAACTTGTCAATTTCGCAACTTGTCAACTGTCCAACTTGTCAACTTCTCGATTTTCCAACTTGGCAACTTTCCAACTTGTCAACTTCGCAACTTTTCAACTTGCCAAAATCGCAACTTGTCAACTGTCGAACTTGTCAACTTCGCAACTTGGCAACTTTCCAACTTCTCGATTTTCCAACTTGGCAACTTTCCAACTTGTCAACTTCGCAACTTTTCAACTTGTCAAAATCGCAACTTGTCAACTGTCGAACTTGTCAACTTCGCAACTTGGCAACTTTCCAACTTCTCGATTTTCCAACTTGGCAACTTTCCAACTTGTCAACTTCGCAACTTCGCAACTTTTCAACTTGTCAACTTCGCAACTTGTCAACTGTCGAACTTGTCAAGTTTGCAACTTGGCAACTTTCTAACTTGTCAACTTCGCAACTTGGCAACTTTCCAACTTGTCAACTTCGCAACTTGGCAACTTTCCAACTTGTCAACTTCGCAACTTTTCAACTTGTCAACTTCGCAACTTGTCAACTGTCGAACTTGTCAACTTCGCAACTTGGCAACTTTCCAACTTCTGAATTTTCCAACTTGGCAACTTCGCAACTTGTCAACTTCGCAACTTTCCAACTTGTCAACTTCGCAACTTTTCAACTTGTCGACTTCGCAACTTGTCAACTGTCGAACTTGCCAACTTCGCAACTTGGCAACTTTCCAACTTGTCAATTTCGCAACTTGGCAACTTTCCAACTTGTCAATTTCGCAACTTGGCAACCTTCCAATTTGTCAACTTTGCATTTTTCCAACTTGGCAACTTTCCAACTTGTCAACTTCGCAACTTGGCAACTTTCCAGCTTGTCAACTTCGCAACTTGTCAACTTTCCAACTTGTCAACTTCGCAACTTTCCAACTTGTCAACTTCGCAACTTGGCAACTTTCCAACTTGTCAACTTTCCAACTTGTCAATTTCGCAACTTTGCAACTTTCCAACTTGTCAACTTCGCAACTTGGCAACTGTCCAACTTGTCAACTTCGCATTTTTTAAATCTTGTCAACTTTCCAACTTGTCAACTTCGCAACGTGGCAACTTTCCAACTTGTCAACTTGTCAATTTCGCAACTTTCCAACTTGTCAACTTCGCAACTTTCCAACTTGTCGACTTCGCAACTTGTCAACTGTCGAACTTGTCAACTTCGCAACTTGTCAACTTTCAACATTGTCAACTTCGCAACTTGGCAACTTTCCAACTTGTCAATTGCGCAACTTGTCAACTGTCCAACTTGTCAACTTTCCAACTTGGCAACTTTCCAACTTGTCAACTTCGCATTTTTCCAACTTGGCAACTTTCCAACTTGTCAACTTTCCAACTTGTCAATTTCGCAACTTGGCAACTTTCCAACTTGTCAATTTCGCAACTTGTCAACTGTCCAACTTGTCAACTTCTCAAATTTCCAACTTGGCAACTTTCCAACTTGTCAATTTCGCAACTTGGCAACTTTCCAACTTGTCAATTTCGCAACTTGTCAACTTTCCAATTTGTCAACTTCGCCTTTTTCCAACTTGGCAACTTTCCAACTTGTCAATTTCGCAACTTGGCTACTTTCCAACTTGTCAACTTCGCATTGTTCCAACTTGTCAACTTCGCAACTCTTCAACTTGTCGACTTCGCAACTTGTCAACTGTCGAACTTGTCAACTTCGCAACTTGGCAACTTTCCAACTTCTCAATTTCGCAACTTGGCAACTTTCCAACTTGTCAATTTCGCAACTTGGCAACTTTCCAACTTGTCAACTTCGCAACTTTTCAATTTGTCGACTTCGCAACTTGTCAACTGTCGAACTTGTCAACTTCGCAACTTGGCAACGTTCCAACTTCTCAATTTCGCAACTTGGCAACTTTCCAACTTGTCAATTTCGCAACTTGGAAACTTTCCAACTTGTCAACTTCGCATTGTTCCAACTTGGCAACTTTCCAACTTGTAAACTTCGCAACTTGGCAACTTTCCAACTTGTCAACTTCGCAACTTGGCAACTTTCCAACTTGTCAACTATCCAACTTGTCAACTTTCCAACTTGTCAACTTCGCAACTTGGCAACTTTCCAACTTGTCAACTACCGACTTGTCAACTTTCCAACTTGGCAACTTTCCAACTTGTCAACTTCGCATTTGTCCAACTTGGCAACTTTCCAACTTGTCAATTTCGCAACTTTCCAACTTGTCAACTTCGCAACTTGGCAACTTTCCAACTTGTCAACTTTCCAACTTGTCAATTTCGCAACTTTGCAACTTTCCAACTTGTCAACTTCGCAACTTGGCAACTTTCCAACTTGTCGACTTCTCAACTTTCCAAATTGGAAACTTTCCAACTTGTCAACTTCGCAACTTTTCAACTTGTCAACTTCGCAACTTGTCAACTTGTCAACTATCCAACTTGTCAACTTTCCAACTTGGCAACTTTCCCACTTGTCAACTTCGCATTTTTCAACTTGGCAACTTTCCAACTTGTCAATTTCGCAACTTTCCAACTTGTCAACTTCGCAACTTGTCAACTTGTCAACTTTCCAACTTGTCAATTTCGCAACTTGGCAACTTTCCAACTTGTCAATTTCGCAACTTGTCAACTGTCCAACTTGTCAACTTCGCATTTTTCCAACTTGGCAACTTTCCAACTTGTCAATTTCGCAACTTGGCAACTTTCCAACTTGTCAATTTCGCAACTTGTCAACTTTCCAATTTGTCAACTTCGCATTGTTCCAACTTGGCAACTTTCCAACTTGTCAATTTCGCAACTTGGCAACTTTCCAACTTGTCAACTTCGCATTGTTCCAACTTGTCAACTTCGCAACTTTTCAACTTGTCGACTTCGCAACTTGTCAACTGTCGAACTTGTCAATTTCGCAACTTGTCAACTTTCAACCTTGTCAACTTCGCAACTTGGCAACTTTCCAACTTGTCAAATGCGCAACTTGTCAACTGTCCAACTTGTCAACTTTCCAACTTGGCAACTTTCCAACTTGTCAACTTCGCATTTTTCCAACTTGGCAACTTTCCAACTTGTCAATTTCGCAACTTGGCAACTTTCCAACTTGTCAACTTCGCATTGTTCCAACTTGTCAACTTCGCAACTTTTCAACTTGTCGACTTCGCAACTTGTCAACTGTCGAACTTGTCAATTTCGCAACTTGGCAACTTTCCAACTTGTCAACTTCGCAACTTTCCAACTTGTCAACTTCGCAACTTGGCAACTTTCCAACTTGTCAACTTTCCAACTTGTCAATTTCGCAACTTTGCAACTTTCCAACTTGTCAACTTCGCAACTTGGCAACTTTCCAACTTGTCAACTTTCCAACTTGTCAATTTCGCAACTTGGCAACTTTCCACCTTGTCAACTTTCCAACTTGTCAACTTCACATTTTTGCAACTTGGCAACTTTCCAAACTTTCCAACTTGTCAACTTCACATGTTTCCAACTTGTCAACTTTCCAACTTGTCAACTTCACATGTTTCCAACTTGTCAACTTTCCGACTTGTCAACTTCACATTTTTGCAACTTGGCAACTTTCCAACTTGTCAACTTCACATTTTTCCAACTTGTCAACTTTCCAACTTGTCAACTTCACATGTTTCCAACTTGTCAACTTTCCAACTTGTCAACTTCACATTTTTCCAACTTGGCAACTTTCCAACTTGTCAACTTCACATTTTTCCAACTTGGCAACTTTCCAACTTGTCAACTTGCCAACTTGTCGAGTCAAAAGCCGGGCTGCGCAGAGAAATGGTTTCTGACCCCGAGAAAAACCCCTCCAACTGGTGGTTTCCTTTCGGGAATCCCCAGGCTCATTCCATCGCACCAGCAACACCAAAACCGAGTATTCTTCTGCCTGGTCCGTGAAGCTTAAACATGTCGGTAGCGATTGGTAACTAGGGAGACGGTTCGGAAAGTCCAAAGATTCTTCCCTGCCCTCGCTGACTACACAGCTCAGCTGGAAAGATAAAGGGGGAAGAATTGGGAGGAAATAGAGAAATGTATGTGTTTCTTTTCCTGGGGTGAAAAAAAACAGCTTGATCGCAAGCCCTGGCAATACTGCAGCAATACTAATCAGTACTAAACCAATACTAACTAATACTAAACAAATCTAGGTCCTCCAGTTGAGAGGTTAGAATAAGGGCACCCTTTTTCTGTAGTCTATTTTAGTAGGGGACCCCTCCTACCAAAAAAGGGGTGAGAAAGGGCACCTAGCTGGGGGACCTAGACATAATATGCCAACCCGCCAGAAGCCCCAAACAGCCACCTCTTTATGGCATCGTTTAACAAACAGCTTCGCAACCACATTTTCAAGAAGTTACAGGGCATCGCCTCGAAAAGTGTTAAATGCTTAAGGGGGGGAGATAGGGGAACAAACAACAACTCTGGTTCTAAAGACTGATACAAAGGAGTACTACGCCAATACTGAGCCAATTCTAAACCAGACTGTTTGTCTAAACGGTACCGGTTACCAGCAAAGCAATGCTAAAAAAATCTAAGGCAGTACTAAGCGTTATCTGCTGAGAGACTTTTTGAGGCCCAACTCTAACCCTCGATATGTTTTTTTGTTTCTTCGATTTTTCCCCATCGACCCCCCCCATTTTGTTTTTGGGTGCCAGGGGCTGTACTGGTCACTCCATGAAGGGAATGACGGGAAAGGGTTAGGTTTTCCTGGCGGCACAGTTCTAGGATTGCATGAGTGCCATGACCACAGTCCTTCCTCATACACCCCCGCAAACAAACATATTTTAAAAAATAAACTAAAAAAAAACAATATGTATGGCTATGTTGTTGTTTTTTTGCGTCGGTCCCGCAAAACCTTGTTTGTGGGTGCTATGTTTGTGGGTGCTATGTTTGTTTGCGGGGGAGTATCTCTTTTTCACCCTTTTGCATCCACATCCAGCCATGAAGAAACACAATGGTGGAAGAAGGGTACAAAGATAAGATAGGTTACGACAATGGGAAAAGAATGAGAGAATCTTTGTAAGCACAAAACAAGCATGACACATATAAACCAGATCTCTATTCGAGCACAAGCCATGATCCCCTATTCTTTTCCGGCATTCTTCTTGAACAAGAACATATGCCTCTCTGTTTCTATCGTTGTTCCTACATCTTTATCATTTCAAGCCTTTGATTCCCACATCGAGTCACTTCATTAAATATCCCAGGAAAAAAAAGAAGCCGAGCTCTCAGCTTTGGAACTTTGACTCCATCGCCAAAATCATGGATCATTTGAGCCTCTCTAAGGTGGATTCGCACAAGCTGGACCCCTCAAGATTGGTGCCGCAACAACTTGGAATCCCTTGGTTGCCAGGTTTCTCAAAATAGACCCCGAAATTTTCGCAGGTGTGCTTGGTGTACGATGTGCACGGTAGCAACACACTTTGTCTTTTGCAGCCCCAAACACGTGGCAACGATGAAGTGGTAGAGTCAGAACCTGCGGTGTTGGATTTTTTCATCTCGCAAGCGGGATCCAAGGTGCCCATCCCAAGTTCTGACTCTACCACTTCATCGTTGTTGCCACGTGTCTGGGGCAACAAACAAAGTTTGTTGCTACCCTACACCAAGGAAACCAGCGATTTTAGGGAAACCTATTTTGAGAAACCTGGAAACCAAGGGATTCCAAACAAGAACCGTGCAGAGCATCGCTGGGCAAAGCGCCAAATGTCACATGTACTGCTTGCTGGAAGCTGTGGATTTGGAGCATAGGCCAGACAGGCTCCATCGGGGTTGGGGCAGCTTTCAGGGAGGGTTCCAGGGGGTTCCGCGGATGCTGGGGATACCACCCTGGGCTTCTTTCTAAATCTGGGAAAACGAGGATCATGCACAATACCCTAGGTAAGGGACATTCTTCACATGCGAGATCTCGTGTTACCAAGGCGAGCTCGCCATTTTTATAGGCAAACACATGCCAAAATAACTTGGCTGTAGGCGAGGCCCCTCTGCAAAAAGTGGCTCACTTGGTTTGGGTCCAACAGAAAACCCCACCTGTTTCAACCAAAAGAAAACCCGACCTGTCACAACCCGCAAAAAAGCTCCAGATCCGGCACCAAAGAGCCATAAACATACAATACATGGCCCGCGGTTGACGTATCTGGGCTGTCCTCAGATCCCCCCACTAAAAGTTTAACTTCCAGTGGGTTGAATGGAAGTCACTAAACACTAAAAAAGAACTAAAAAGCTCAGGACCCGGATGGCTGGGAGCCACCGAGGTAAGGTCCTTGATGGCCTGAATGATCCTGACCCTCATGACCAGCACCCGGTTGACAATGGGCTCCGCCACGGCGGAGACCAGCGCCTGGGGGTGGAGGTGGGGTTGGTGGGGGGTTGGGGGGGGGGGGTGCGGGAGGGTGGGGTGGGTGGGGGTGGGTGGGGGGGGGGTTGGGGTGGGTGGCGGGGGGGGGGTTGGGGTGGGTGAGGGGTTGGGGTGGGGTGGGGGCGGGTGGGGGTGTTGGGGTGGCGGAGTGGGTGGGGTGGGGTCGTTCAAGGGTTCGGTCCTCATGGGCACATGTGAGGGGATTGGCAAGGGTTCTTGGAATGAGTCTAATCTTGCTGCCGCGAAATCGGTAGGGAATGAGAAATGGAATGAACCGATTTGGGATTCCCTTGAAAACCATAGGATGGATGGCTTTTCTCGGGGACATTCCATTTCTCATTCCCTGACCGGCAAGATTAAACCTCTGGTTGCAATAAAAGATCTTTGGTGTTGCAGCCCCCAACATGCGCCTGGTTGAGCAATGTTTTCCGGGGCTAACATTATGAACATTGGGCCAAGCCGTGCTTGAAATGTGATCAGGAATACTTCGAAGCACCATACAAATCAGGATACAAATCAGGGGTGGTTGCTCTTTCCCTGAATAAAACTCATTCATTCGGAAGATTCCTCGGATCGTGAGCAGCTTCCCCTTTGTTTTGCCCTTGGAGCCTTTTGGTTTACGAGGGCCTTCCGCTTAAGATGTTTTCCACGCTGGTCTTGGGGCTTCGTATACCACGGAGTTGTACCAAAGAACAAGGCCTCACAGCCCCAAATTCCATCAGGACCCTGCGGGCAGAAATCAAACCTCCCTCCAGCAATTGGACGCTGCTCATAGCCCCCCTCTGATTCTAGGACCCAACTAAACATGTGAGGCGTATGTGGGCGTTTGGCTTTCTGAGGCTCCCCTTGTTCAGGTTGCTTTGGGAAACGAAGCAACATCTGGCTATGGGTCAAAACCCCGGTACCCCGGTGAACACCCAGAAAGCCTGCTGAAAAGACAACAGTGGAGTGGTAACCATCCCCCAGGTTTTGACCCACAACCATCTGCTTTTTTTGGGGGTCCCCTCAACATTTTGACCTTGGATCTTCCGCGCCTGGATGATGGCGGCGACCACGCCTGCTCCCACAGCCACCGGCACTGGGTAGGGCGTGTACATGGCCCGCCGCGCCTGACTCAGGACACTTTTGGCTAGGTCCTCCAGTAGAGAGGTTAGAATAAGGATACCAACTTCTTCTGTAGTCTATTTTAGTAGGGGAACCATGCCTCAATAAAGGGTAAAAAGGCAGTACTGACGGACCTAGTTGGAGTACCTGGCTCCGTTCCTCCCACAACATAGCACGTGTGGAAGGGTAGCTGTCAATTTCTTCTTCAAGGGACCCCTGCCAGGTGCCACGCTAGTTGGAGGAAGGTTACCTGAGTTGCCAAAGCTGAACAACTCTTGGTTGGTTGGTTTATTCATCATTGAGTCTGAGTCAGTACACAAAAAGCTGACACTTGTTCTGGCCCAAGCGTGGGGCAACAGGGCTTGGTTGACTTCAACCATACAGCCTTGAACCTTCAAGCTCCGATCATGCTTTTGTTAGTCGGACTTCCGAGTGCTGGAAGCCTTCCTCTTGAAAAGCCAAGCTTTGGAAAGACCCCTTTGTGGACATCCGACGCAGTTGCAACCATAAACCCATAGGGGGCCTACCCAAAACCTATACCCGCCGACATAGAGTTGTGTGCCGGGTGACTCTTGCTTCTGTTTTCGGCCATCCAAAAGTGGGGGGGTGCCTGTTTATCGAAACTCCTACGTGAGTGAGGGAGCGAACCTGCTCAAGCTTACTTGGTCTAGACCGGTGGAGAGTACCATCCTAACAGCCAGTCAAGCACCGCCAAATCACCATGTCGGCGGTACAAAACCAGCCCCGACATTTACGGAAGTGGCAGAAGAATCCGGACAGGCTCAGCAGAAACGAACAGTACCTGGAAGCTGAGCAATGCTCAATCATCCTCTGCAGCTGCTTCTGTGGCGCACCCGATTTCTGCACGCCCGGGACAACACGTCGCGCTCAAGGCGCTGCAAGGCGCTGTAATATGGCTGCCGACCAGTCCCCAACAAAAGGAGGCACAGAAACGGCAAGGCTCTCACATACTTTACAATCAGCATGACATCCCAAGGGCAACACTCTGCCACAAACCTTTCTAACTTTTGACCGCCACCACTTGCCTCCATCCGCGGCTCTCGCCGCCCCGCGCTTGCGCGGCCCGCCAGCTTCGCCGCCGCATCGGCGCGGGAGGAACTCGGCGCCAGGAAGCCGAGCGGCAAAGCGGCGAGCGCCAGGGCGAGGAACCGCTTGGCTCGCGTCGCTGGGCGCTCCATGGCGCAGATGGAGCCTGGAGCTCTCTTTTGGGCCCAGATGAGAGCAGAATGCACTTGGTTTGAGTTGGGATCCTTTTTGTAAGGTCTGGCTTTAGTTGGGCCCTTGTAGGCAATTGGCATCCCGAAATTTGGCGCCTTGGGTCCAACTTGTGATCTATGAGTAGCACAAGCGAAGCCACAAGCAGCTCTCCAGTGCATCGGGATCTGCTTTTCTCCCTGCTAGCTCTTGCCTCTCTGCACGACCGAAGCAATGACTCAGCTGGTGCGCTTTGCTTGTCACCAATTGGCTCCACTCCTTTGGGACCCCGCGCTTGCCAGAGCGCAAGCCTATGCTTAAGGAGACCCCTATGGGTCTCCTTCAGACAAAACCGGGATCCCTCCCTGCGGGTCCCAGGGAAACACCCGAGAGTGGCCAGCTAGCTGACCGACCGGCGGCCTGGCCCATTTCAACATGGCCCAGTGCCTGAATCTGACACAGCCACGCCACGGCTTCCGTCAGATGTTCCACCCGCAAATGCATTGGCTTGACCTGTTGAATTGCAACCTTGACCAGGACTCGGCCAACATGGAGCACACCAAACCCAATTTCTGGGGTTCAACCCTAACAACCATGGGGGTTCATATTTTGCCACCATTCTTCATCTACGGATTGGGGTTATCCAAGGAACCCAAGGATTGTCATCCAAATTGGATCATATGACGGCCAGGCACCCCTTTGGACCAAAGGGGTAAGGTCGACTCGCTTGAGTCACAGAGTGCATCAGGAATCGGTGGCCTTTGGTGGGATCAGTGGCCATTTCCAGTCCTCAGGCGGGGAGGCTGCCAGCTGGGCGGTGGTGCACTTGGATTTAAGCTGTGTTATGGGTAGTCAAGCAACCCCTCCCCCCTGGCAAGCTCAATGACCTACCTGCTCGGCTGAACATCCAAATTGCTCCTTCTTTGGGGTTATGTACTATGGGAACACTCACCCTTGGGATGCGGCTGAAGCGAACAACAATGTCAAGCACGTACGTGGTGGTCCCCTGTTTTCGGACAACACCAGGCATACCTGTGCGTTACCAAGCACACTCCTTTTAAAACCGACAGGGAAGCCAAGACCGCTGAGGATTCCAGCTCATCTTGACATATCTGGGCAATCATTGATGCGCAAACACCGGATATTGTCGTTCAACATATATACCTGGTCAACACACCAACAAGGTTCAAATGAGGAAAGACTCTTGGAAGAACATGTGGGTATTCAATCGAGCACCTTTGGACGAAGGCCAACCAAGGAAACCAACAGCGATCCCCTTTTCCAGGAGGAAGCGCGCAGAATTCACGGCAGAGTTCCTCGATATGTCCTATGTCATTGAAGGAAACTCACAGATTGGCTCAAAAGGTTGCATTCAACTCGCAGCTTTCCTCTGATTGGTGGTCTGGATTGGGGATTTGGTAGTTAGGGAGTGGTGTCCCTTGTGTCCTGTACAAAAGCCGGGAACTAAGGGCTACCTGGAACATCAAGGGAATATGGTAGCCAGGAAAAAACATGCTCCTCGTTGATGATGGTAGGGCTTCATGCGTCCCTGGCATGGCGCTGGTTAAAAAGAAAAAACACCGTCACGCGGTATATTTCCGGGGCACTTGAGTTGTTTGCGTGTTTGGATTCTTGGAGGTGGATTCAACAAAGGCAGCCCACCGTTTAGAGGATTTCAACCGGAAGCTCAAGTTGGTGTCCCTTTGAATCCGAACACGGGCACGCAAACCAAAACACCTGATTTCCCAAAGTTTCAGCACCCAGTGTCTCTACCTTTTGGGGACGCCAAAGCCACCTCAGCTTTCGCCGGACAGCAAGAAACAGACACACACACACACATTTGATTATTGCCCCTGTTTGGGGAACTGTAAAAAATGTGAACTGATTTCAATACAACATCCCATTCACTTTGCTTCAAAGGGTGTTTTCTCTTTGACCCCAAACACGGATGTCGGGTTTCCTCTTCAACATCCCTTTAAACACCAAATAAATGTTGGGGCCTTACCCCCCCCCCCTCTAACAAGAAAACGCCGCGCACTTAGATGCCCTGAGCGAGTCTGCAAAGCAAATACCCTCCCAGCAACTAACATGGAAGTGCGCAAAGCCCTTTCCAAGAAGAAAGTTGTCTTTCTACAGGGGTCTGTGCTCTTCCATGTTCGGCGGAGGGAGCGTAAATGGGGCTACCCCCCCCCCAAAAAAAAACTGCAATTTGCTTAAGCCCCCTGGAAAAATACCCATATTTCCAGTAGTGAAATCGATTCCCTTTAAAACCAACAGGGGACAATAAAAAATAGTCATTTCAGCAAATGGAAGAAAACAAAGAGAAAACTATCCTCTAGTGGTTTAATACGGAAAACCCATTAGTTGGATCAAAAAGTTAGTGCTAACATCCCTTGGCAAAATGCACCAAAGGAATGCTGGCCATTTTGCTGGCCTTTGGACCCCAAAGATGGAGGAAGACAGTGGGTGTTTCGCTTTTGGCTCCCCTTGAAACAAGGATCCTTACATTATACACCTGAACATTGCCTTGTAAATGGTGGTTTCTCTTTATTTTGGTGTTGAAAAAACCACATGTTTCAAATGGTGGAAACATGAAATTATTTTAAGGAGCCCCCAATGAACCATCCAACTGGTGGTTTGCTTTAAGGGACCCTTGGCTTCATTCCCTCATTCCCTAATGAGCACTTGGGAAAACAAATTAGCGGGGATACGGGGGAAGCGGGGATGTGCGAGGATTCTCTGTAAAGGAAGCCATATGTAAATATTACCTGAAACAAATATGCCACATCCCTGCTTCCCCTGTATCCCTGCTCGCTTGTTTGTCTGAACCGGCATTCAACAAAGCATGAACGCCCCGCGCGCAACGCGCGCCATCCCAACGGCGAGGCGCCGCAGGTGGGGCTCCAGCCGGGCCACCGCCCGCTCTGCGGCCTGCACGGCGCTCTGCAGCCGCGACCGCGACCTGGGGTGCTGAAAACGGGGCGTGGGGGTTCTTTGCGTTTCTTCTTCTTTGTTTCTTCTTCCTTTTTTCATGTGCCTGGGATATAACCCACTAAAAAAAACTTATGGTAAGGCTCTGGAGGTCGTTGATTTTGTTTTTTTGTAGGCCTGGATATGACCCACTTGGTAAGGCGGGTGGGGTCTGGAGGTCGTTTTTGGGTGGGTGGCCTGGTGGTCTGGTGGTCTGGTGGTCTGGAGGTCTGGAGGTCTAGAGTGGATATAACCCACTTAGTAGACTCATAACCATGGCAAGTTGGCTATAACTGGGCTTGCGAACCGCTTACCGAAGAAACCCTGCCCGTTTAAGTGGGGTCTGGATTTTCCAAGAGGTCGGCTTTTGTTGTTCCGCCCAGGGGGAGTTCGGAGGCCACGTTGGCTTGCGCCGTTCTGTCTTTTGGAAAGGACTCTGCTGGTTTGTGAAATAAGATACTTGCCTAGGTCCTCCAGCAGAGAGGTAAGAAGAAAGGTACCCTTTTTTTCTGTCTATTTTGGTAGGGGAACCCTCCGCCCAAAAAAGTTGGTGGGCATCTAGCTGGGGGACCTAGCTACGATTGCCCCCGGTCAGGACGCCCCCGGCTGTGTTTGGGCATAGTGTCTTCAGCTGAAACCCGCAACCAAGCGGAACCGAGCAACGGGCTTCTTGAAGTGGGGAATGAACCAACCATTGGTCCGGACTTGTTTTGGTTTTTTAGTTTGCGTGGTAAATGGCTCATGTGTTTGCATTATCCCAAATAAAGGGGATGGGTAATCATTCAATTTGTCCAGACCCTCCTATTTGGAACCCTCTTAGCCCATGTTTCTAGGGCTAACTTCCATTTCCATTCTTAACCCAGGGATCCGGATCTTTCTAGAAAACCACCCAAAACCCTGGTTGGACATGGCGATCGGTTTTTGACAAGAGCTGAACATGGAACCGGAATCAACCCCTAGAACTTGGCCGCAAGGCGGCGATGAAGCCGAGACGCGCATCGTATTCACTGGGCTCACTTGCGAGAAGTGTCACACGTGTACCCGCGAGCAAACACATTCACATACACGTGATATCTGTACATCTGTGAAAATATGCTGTATGTATATATGTAAACATGTAAATCTGTATACCTATACATCTACATATTTCTAATATATATATGCACTAGGTCCTCCAGTAGAGAGGTTAGAATAAGGGTGCCCATTTTTCTGTAGTCCATTTTAGTAGGGGAACCCTCCCCCAAAAAAAGAAACGGCAAAAGGCCACCTAACTGGGGGACCTAGTGCATGTATACAGCCATATGTTTGTGCACATAGGTGTCCTTTTAGGGTAAATAGATGGGTTTCCCTGGTAGATGATTAAACCACCAGGTAAACCAGAAATCGAAACCCCTCCATTTTTCTATTAAACAAAATCAACCAACAAGGACACCTATGTTTGTGCAAGTGCCGTTCCCTTTTCGGCCAAGCCGCTTCTCCGCCCGGCGCTTCTTCCCGCGTCCCGCTTGGCCTTCGCCGCCTCGGCGTCTGGCGTCCGCGAAGGCCGCGGCCGGCAGGCGGCGGCAGCGCGGGAGGCCCACCTCCTGGCTTGGACGGGCTGAGCTTCGGCTCTCCGGGCAAGGCCGTGGGTCAAAACTAACCCCCAAATGGCTCTATTCCAATTCAAGTCATATTTGGGAAAGGATTCTTCAAAAACGTCTTATGTTCAAAAGGCAATTGAATTCTGTCTGCATTATATTTAAACTCTACTGTCGTAAATGCAACCAAAGACGACCAAACAAATGCGGTGCATTCATTTTGACCCATACCCACAATCCTCCATTTGCAAAAAGCACCCTGGAAAGAAGAAAAAATGCTTAACCAACATGGAAGTAGGCTTGGAACTCCGATACTGTTGAACAAAATGAAAAACATTGAACAGAATGAAACAAAAAACATGAAACCCTGTCCTTGCAAACCCCCCGCCCTGGCCCCCTTCAAGGAAGGGGCGGGCACAGAGCTTCTTTCGCATGTCACGTGAAGCCCGCTTTTGGCCCATGCC